TACGACATCAAGTACTTAGTATTTCGAATTGAAGGTCTACGTTTAGTTGGTAGGGGTCGGGGGGGGGCTGTATTTGTAATTCGGCTATCAATTGAAGATTAAACCATTGTAATATTGGACGTCTACACTTGTAATTTGGCCTATTACTCTAGCTTTGTAATTTAGGCTAGCATTATAGTTAAGCTATTTAGTTTACTTAAGACTAGCTTAGGAGTAATCTTGTTAGTCAAATACCAATTCTCGATTGAGCAAACTTCATCTATGGCCAACCACTAGAAACTAATATCAGCCGCTAGTCACCTAATTACAGTATGCATTTTATAGCCCAAAACTAATTAAAAGGCTAACCCAAGACCAGTGCCACTCTTCCCCTTCTCTAGGGCATCCTCCTCTGCTCTCTCCGCCGTTCCTCCGCCGCTGTCGCTTTTTAATTTTCGTCATGATTTCCAGTGGAATGGGGGATGTATTCGGTCGGATTGACCAGTTTCGGGACTTCATCGGAATCATTGTATTTATTCTCCTTTTCGACTGCAATTTGATTACCTGCGGAAACAATAAAGTAAGTTTTCTCTTGCACAGAGATTGCCAAAAATCACAGCCTTTCTGCAGTCCCTAACACCAGAATCAACTCTAGAACGGAATCCAATTTCAAAAGCCAAGACATGAGAGTCTCATTCACCCGCAACCTCTCCCTTTCGTCTCTCTGAATCAATTATAAAATCAAATAGACTATCACTATACAATTTACATACAATAGTCCGTCACTATATAAAATATATACAAAAATAGTCTATCATTATACAACAAATATACTAAATAGAGTATCGCTATACAAGATGTTGATACCCAATTTTTATCTATATATTTTAAATATGCATAAATACCTTCAAAATAGCATATATAAGTATGCACAAGGCTTTTATTATTTCCATAATTTTAAGGGTTTAAATTGATTTTTTTTTTTGCTTTCATTCATAAAATCCCCAATAAATATTTTCCAAATTATTGTTATGATGATTTACTCATTTAATTTCTATACTTATGTCAAAATATGAATGTCACGAAATCCCCCGCTCTTCGGGGGTGCCCTCAGCGTCGAGGAACATGTACTAGGGTGTATGTGCGACTCGTTTAGATCATGAGCTGGCACAAAAGCAAGAAAATGACTTTTACAGTATCAATGATCAGTACCGGTGAATGGGATAGGATGGAAGAAGGAACTCCATTCATTATTAAAAAAAAACTCTATCATATCCCTCTATTGTGTATGAAGTTTATGGTTTCCGTTGGTGTAAATCCAATCACCTGAATTTAAGATGATAAGAAATTCTCCATTGGTAACAAATGGTTATCCATTAAGCGGAGGAAATCTTATTTAAAAAGCATAAAACATGAAGATTAGGCAGGCTCCTACTCTGGCAAGAACGGACTAAGAGGGTCAGCTACCCAGCAAACTTTCATAATTAAATACCATTACTGTATAGGTAGATCTGATTGTGAAAGACCTATTACTGGATAATTCATGGGTAGAGCCAAAGAGTGTGAACTATACAAGTTCCCAATAACATCAATTAGTTGATTAAATATTAAATTAAAGTATAAAGTAAAGGCTCCGGTGTATAGAGAAGACCTCACCGTTTAAGAAGTAACCATAGAAACGAAGGAACCCACTATTTATTTTTTGATTTCTTTTATTTACTAGATTTTTGATACCTAGGAAAATACAATTTTTTATTTCTTTCTTATTTCGCAGTGAAATACCTAAAAAAAAAAAGAAAAAATCGTGGTCGGGAAGGTTAGAGTAGCCAAAGCCATTGGAATTTTTATTTTATACATTGGAAAAATCCGTTTTGTTATTAATAGACTAGGAAGGGGGAAAAGAATAACTGAAAGAAAGGCAATCGATTAGTTATTCGTCAAAGTTTCATTTATTCAATGACCAGAATTAAACGGGGATATATAGCTCGGAGACGTAGAACAAAAATTCGTTTATTTGCATCAAGCTTTCGAGGGGCTCATTCAAGGCTTACTCGAACAATTACTCAACAGAAAATAAGAGTCTTTAGTTTCGGCTCATCGGGATAGGGATAGGAAAAGAGAGATTTTCGTCGTTTGTGGATCACTCGGATAAACGCAGTAATTCGCGAAAGGGGAGTATCCTATAGTTATAGTA